CGGAGCTGGCATCCAAAAAGCAGAATCGGAAGGGGAAAATAGTCTTTATAGGTCAAAAGGCATGATTGAAGTTGATAATGAGAAAGTAGCCGGATGGGGAAATGGATCCAGAGGGATGAAGGTGGCAGATGGTCATTAAAACATCTGCCCTGCATATATACTCAGGGATTGAAGATGAGGAGCAGCTGATGAGGTGAGGCGGGATACTCAACAGTGATGGCTTGTGGACAGGTGAGGAACTGCAGGGGAGGATAATGTAAAAAACAATTGTTGTCTATGATAAGAGCACATTTCAGTTTTTGTACCATAAATGTAACAAATGGGCTGAAAAGCAAGTCGAGGTGATTTTGTTTAGTTGCATTGTTTTCAGATATTTATTAAAGCTTTATGATTTTATAGACGCTTCAGATCAGTCGCCTTTTTTAAACGTACAATTTATTTTCACCACTCTTTTAATGATATCATGTATTGTGTCTTGTGGCCTGCTTCATCCTTGAAAATGACTAAAACTAAACAAAATAAGTTGTATATGTATATGTCACATCCACATTATTTTGTTATGATAGACACCTTGGCATTTATGCGTGCCTTGTCTTATTATACGCACAACCTCAAGTCTATGTTTTTGTTTACAAAAATAAAATAGGATCATGCCATGTGTCTTAATGCAAGGGCATGTTATTTTGTTGTAAACTTAAAGGGCCCATGTCATGGTCATTTCTACTAATCATAATTCCATTGTTGAGGTCTACTAAAATAGATTTATACTGTGCAATTTTCCAAACTCACATTGGTTTCTCAGACAGCATCTCTGTATAGTATGTGTATTCACTCTCTGTCCTAAACGGCTTGTTGGAGCTCCTGCCCCCCCCCCGTCCCCCCCCTCCCGTCCCTGTGAGCCCAGTGTGCTCTGATTGGTCGGGACGTTGAGAGGCTCGTTGCTGCGATCTGCTGCGAGGAGCAGACAGGTTTCCGTGTCGGCGATACAGCGAGAACAAGCGAAACTCATCCTGAGCACAAACAAACACTCACAGCCGAAGTAAAAACAATAAGTGTGGCTTGATATTGAGTAAGAAAAAGGTTTATAACGCTGTGGGCATGGGTCTGCGGAGAGCATTTCTCCGTGATCCCAACGTAGTAGCCCGAAAAACGTTTACCCATTTAAACAGTCGTGGTAGATACCTTGTTTGTTTTAAACATCATAAATACACAAACAACAATGAATACTTACAGGTTGTGTACCCGAATCTCCCGCTGGTCCAAACAAAGTTCTTCAGTGCCCTACGCTGTACATATCCAGCATGAATCGCTGAAAGGTTTGGGAAGCTTTGTTTCGTGAAAGGCTGGCAGAGGGTGTGGGCTCTGGGTATCCCCACGTCAGAGTACCCAGGAAGTAAACAATGGAAAATGAGAAATCTCCAACGAGGCGTTTTGGGGCAGCATAGACTGTGTTAGAGGTTTTTTTACTCGCTACTGTGTACTTTGAGGGTTTTTTACTCTGCAGACCGTTTACATGCATAAAAACCTTCATAACACACAAGGGGACGGGTAATAACCGGAAAAGCATGACATGGGACCTTTAAACATATGCAGACTGTAAAAGGAGGGAAAGGGTTCTCTCTATTGGCCCTACAGTATGCATATCAGATTATGGATACTAGTACGGATTGTTGCTTTAAGTCACAACCCTTACACCATGAGTTCATTTAGATTTGCCCTCACGTGTAGTAAGGCAATATAAAGATTACATTTAACACGAAACCTCTGTGTAGTGTAAATAGCTGAGAGAACCAGGGGAACTGCCACAAGCCATGCATCTGATATTGAACCATTAGAACAAAGGGCCATCGTTCGAGGGTTGATTAGATTTGAGATTCTATACAGATGAAATTATAGATCATCAAATACAGTTTATGAACATCAAGCACATCGATTTCCGTTATGGAAAGCACTAATCTAGACTCGTGTGAGTGGGCGTCTGTTGCTCTGCATACTATGCCACTCTTCGTTGGACATTAGGGAATCATAAGGATTTACCTCTCGCTGCTAAATGAATGAAAGTCATGCAGCTAAATAGAAAGTGTCAAAAATGTTGTTGCTAGCTGCTAAATGGCCAGCTCCAGAACGTTTACAGCGCTCCCTCCACACTGGTAGTTTATTACAAGGATACGGCCGGAGAATTCATATCAAAACGTGGATTGCGGGCGTTTGCTAGTCAATATGATACATGTTAAACTAGCTTAAAGAAAGGAAAATGTTGAAAGCACACAAAGAGACAGTCTTACAAAGTGACAGACGTGCATTACCGGCACGATTGAATAAAGCGAGAGAGAAAAAATAAGGTTCAATCCATTTACGCTTGTACAGATCTGCTTCCACTTTGCTAAATGCAATTAGACCCATCCACTCTGTCCAAGTGACACCCCCGAGGCCTTTTAAGAAGTCAGCACAAATAGATCTCTGCACTAAAAGACAAGGGAGGGAGGAGGAGGGGGTTAAGGTATAGATGGAGGAGGGCTGAACACTTTTCCTCAGAGGAATCTGCAATGTTTACCCCCACAACGGGAACCAGGGAGAGTGGAAACCGGAGCGAGAGAAGAGGTTATAAATCATACTTTACCATTAGATCGCCCTCGCTGCATCTTCGCCCCCTCTCCATTGTTTGAATCAGCCCTTGCATGGTGGTGGGTTTAGGGAAGGGTCCTATTGAGAAGTGTTGTGATGCTATCTCCTCAATGTCCTCGTGAGATCAAACGCAAAGCCTTGGAGTGGCGAGCAAACATTTCTTAGTTTTTATACCTTTCTTTCTGGATGCTACATCACCCCCCCCCCCTCCCCCCCACCCCCAATACACTGTGATCTCACTTTGTCACAGACGCTTTTGCTGTCGCCAAGCGCTTCGGTTTGGCTGACCCAACTGAGACTGTAGCAAACTCTCTGTTTCAATGCTTTTTGATGCTTCAAGGCACTGATGTTTACTCACTCCAACACTACCTCCAGCACTGCATCATGCACATCAAACGTGTGTGTGTGTGTGTGTGTGTGTGTGTGTGTGTGTGTGTGTGTGTGTGTGTGTGTGTGTGGTGTGTGTGTGTGTGTGTGTGTGTGTGTGTGTGTGTGTGTGTGTGTGTGTGTGTGTGTGTGTGTGTGTGTGTGTGTGTGTGTGTGTGTGTGTGTGTGTGTGTGTGTGTGTGTGTGTGTGTGTGTGTGTGTGTGTGTGTGTGTGTGTGTGTGTGTGTGTGTGTGTGTGTCCTCAAAGACCGTACCTACAGGGTAACTTGGAGAGGGTCCGAGTCCGACCCTTGTCAATTAACTACAGGGGTCCCTCAGGGCTCTGTTCTTGGTCCCCTCCTCTTCTCCCTGTACACAAACTTGCTCGGATCTGTCATTAGCCCGCATGGTTTTTCATACCACTGCTACGCTGACGACACCCAATTAATTCTGTCCTTTCCCCGCTCAGAGACCCAGGTCGTTGCACGCATCTCTGCTTGTCTAGCTGACATCTCTCAGTGGATGTCTGCTCATCACCTCAAGCTCAACCTTGACAAGACTGAGCTGCTTTTCCTTCCGGGAAAAGATTGTCCCACTCTTGACCTAACAATCAACATCGGCGTGTGTGTGTGTGGCCTAGCATTACTATACTTGTGGGGACCTAAATCTGTTTACACAGTCACGTGTGGGGACTCGCCGCCCTTATGGGGACAAATTGGAGGTCCCCATAAGGGGAATCATTAATTTTAGGATGAAGACTTGGTTAGGTTTAGGGTTAGGGTAAGAGTAAGGTTAAGGGTAAGGGTTAGGCATGTGTTGGTTATGGTTAAGGTTAGGATAAGTCTCCAGGAAATGCATGTAAGTCAATGTAATGTCCCCTGAAGTGATGTATACATGGGGTGTGTGTGTGTGTGTGTGTGTGTGTGTGTGTGTGTGTGTGTGTGTGTGTGTGTGTGTGTGTGTGGTGTGTGTGTGTGTGTGTGTGTGTGTGTGTGTGTGTGTGTGTGTGTGTGTGTGTGTGTGTGTGTGTGTGTGTGTGTGTGTGTGTGTGTGTGTGTGTGTGTGTCGTGTGAAACCGTAGAACAACTTTAAGAAAATGTTTTCCTCTCTCTTGAGTGACTGCTACACTTCATCCGTATCAACAACGCACTTCCGATTTGATTCCGTCTGTAGCACAGCTGTCTGTCATAGTAGTGAGCGCATGACGGTGAGAGAAAGGTGGACTCTAGAGAAGAAGTTGCACGACATCAGTAACACCAATGCTGTGATCCAGATCACAAGGTGGACCCGCCTCCAGCTGGAGTCACTGCAAATGTTGTTGGACTGGTATGAAATCACAAAGAAATGGTGGTTTGAAGGTGTCTTGCTTCTGTAATTGGACATTTTTGCAGATAAAACAGGATGTTTTGGCAGAGCACGGTCTCCACGCTGTGCCAGCACAGCAGGAACGTCTAGCTGGAGCCCCATTTTATTATAAAGCAATTATGTCAAGTGTGTATGTACTCCTTAATCCAATCACAATTATGAAGGTTGGGGGAGAACTCTGCTAAGCTTACCCGTGCCCTTGCAAAAATACCGCCTGGGGAAAGATACTTTACTGGTTTAAGTTGGAGTTTTACTTTTTTTTTTTGCAGTAAGATATTTTTGTATGCAAATTAGGATGATTATACTACGGTGGCCGGCAGGTGCAAACGCGGAACAACGGCCCAAAACAGCTGCAAATCCTGAAATGAAAAACAAACAAATCCTGAAAACAAATACAACAGAAAAACGCTGCATATACAGAAATGATGCAAACTAAATACAACACACAAACCCCGAAAACAAACGCAAAAAAAAACGCTGCACGATATGCAAAGTCCAAAGCACGTACAAATCCCAAAACACATACAAAAAAAAACATTCCGGAAGTGCTCCAGGTCTCTAGGGGGCGCGCTACGTGGAACAGATTGATGTCTGATCAGACAGAGAGAACGAACAAGAGTGATGGAAATTGAAGCCGGAGGAAACAAAGTTGATCGAAGTGGTCGATATATAAGAAGGTAAGTTTTGTTTTGATACAAAGAGCGTCATATTTACCCAGCTAGCGTTAGCTTGTTTGGTAAAAGAGTTTGCAAGTCAAGAGACAGCACTGTGCACATAAATGTAACTCTTGACATCATATAGATATATTATAGGTGCAGAGAGGAGTTGGTTGCCCCAATGTAAATCCTAATGTGAGAGTTAAAGGACGGTCAACAATATAATGTACCTTGGTCAGTTTGGATTTATCGTGGCATTTATTCTTAATTAAAGTGCATTTATTTAATTTCAGTCAGTTTGCCAGGGTAAAATAAAACATTGTCAACATATTATTTTGTGCCACAAGAAGCAGAATGTTTTAACAGTACAGTAGTTTGAATATATTTGTTGTTTACCTTTATCAGACCTCTCAGGCACCCACAACCAGCGTCTGATCGGGTAAGACTAATTAAAAATGTAATTATACCATATAGGTTTGAATTTGTGAACATGAAATCAATAAATACCTTTTGTGTGCACTTATTTCCTGGGTAAAAATAAGATGCAGCACCAACCCCATTCCAGGAAGAGGTCCAGTCTGCCCCGGGTCAGAACCACTTCTATAGGTAAACAATGTTGACAGTTGCATCGTGACACAGTTGTTTGGTGTGTATCTTTATTTTTACATTTGTTTGTTTGTATAGCCTCCAATCACAGTGGGTAACATTGCCAGGAAGCAGAACAATTATACTTTCATACATTTCCAAATGACACCCACAACATCTTAGTGAAGACAATACAAAAAACACCCACAAATATTTTTTAAAGATCAGATATTGTTTCTTGCATCCATTTCAAATGTTAAAAGGATTGTGCAGGAGTATGACAAAAGTACTGTTGTCAGTTTAGAACCCAATGTATTAAAAAAACAGGAAGAGGATCGATATCCTTTTGTAAATATGACTGTCATGCATATATTAGGTATTTGAAAATAATTATTCAACTGTCTTCTCACTGCAGCAACTACACAACTGTGTATGCACTTATCATTATTGATAGCCAGTCTGAGCCAGAAGACACAATGGAGCAAAGGTATTAATTGTTACTATTACCACTTAATTTGTCTATGCTATACTGTAAATCTTATTACTAGCTTCATCATTTAATATTACAATACATCACTTTGTCTTTCCCAGCACAGAATACCTGACTGCGGCACACTTTGTTGCAGAACTCTCTGCAACAATAACAAATACATCTTGCAGCAGGTTCAATATTAACAGAGCCAGTGTGTGGGATGGAGCAATCCGTGGCTTCAAAGGTGCCTCATTCGACCCCTCTCATGAGATGTCAGTTAAGTTCACTGATGAGGGACACACTGAGGATGGAGTGGACACTGGTGGTCCCAAGCGTGAGTTCCTGACCCTACTTATGGAATGCCTGAGAATGCGAAGAAAACATCACGTCAGCAACTGTTTGTGCCCCATGGCGGTGTGACTTTCCCAGCCGCTCACTGTCTCAAAATCTGATTCTAAATGTATAATGTTCTCTATAAAGATAGAACTAATACACAATTATGAATGTATAATATAATACACATGTTTTGTGTATTTAATCATGCATTGGTCTACAATTTAATGATGGCTTCTACATATTTCACATAAACAGACAATGAAAAAATGTGTCCTTCATGCTGATAACTAGTGCATCTGCCAATTAGTATTCTAAACAGAGTAGTGTGTTGAATCCTTATTTCTTGCATTTGAAACAGATACAATAAAAAAAAGTGAACTTACTGTTGTGTTCAACTTCTGCCAACAACTGTACATGTTTGCCACAGGAGCCACAGAACACGAACTGTCCCCAGATGATGACCACAGAAAGGACACAACATGGCGGCCTGAAAAGACATACATTGATGTAGTAAATCCATTTAATCAAGTCAATCAAAAACACAGTCTAAATAGTGGTTAGCTAAATAAATAGAAAGATACATCATGTTTACCGTTGAATCTGTGTTCTCTCTCTCCTTGAATGTCTTCTCTATATTTGTTCTTGAGCATGTCTAATGCACACTACTCTCCTGTCATTACTCTGTCCCTCTTCACATGTTGTCACATCTCTCTCAATTCAATAGCTTTATTAGCATGACCATAGTTACAGGTAATTGCTAAAGCTCTGTATAGTTGCAACATCTATACAAAAATACATACATATAAACAAACTGCTAAGAATTCAAATGTCCTTTTTCCGCGGCACTCACTATGGCCCGTGTTATTTGCCTGCACTTGATTTGTCATCTCTTTTAACAATGTTCTTCCCTCACTTTATCTTCTCTTCACGTGAAGCTCTGCTCAGCTGGTGTAGTAGTTAGGCACGCTAACGCTAGCTATATAAATATGACGCTCTATGTATAAAAACAAAACAAAACTTACCTTCTCCACTTAAATGAACTTTATTTCCTCCCGATTTCCATCACTCTTGTTTGTTCTCTCTGTCTGGTCATACATCAATCTGTTCCACGTAGCGCGCCCCCTAGAACAGGGGTTCCCAATCCCAACCTTTTTTCCCAAGAGCCCCCCAAAATGACTCCTGTTGGAAGTTGCCCCCCCCCCACACACACACACACACACACAACAGCGGTAATTCAAGTTTTAAAAGTCTCAAAAATGCTACAACTACTGTCACAAACTGGATGAATGTGAAGTGTTTTGTTAAAGGAGGATGAAAGCGTAATTAAGGAGCACTATTGGAGTGACTTTGATGGTTATTGGACTCAGGATTAATTCATTTGGATTCCCACTGAATGAAGAAATTAAATGACGGCGCAAGTGGAAACAATTCACAAAGGGATTAAACTGTTAAAACATGCTCAAAGTCAATTGGATTTTGCTGATGTGTTTATGTGGATTCAAAAGTCGTAAATAATCTAGAAAATGGAGGAGACCGATCTGATCGGAGCAACTGTGACAAATAATCCAACTGAAACCAGCATGGACAATGACTATGTTTTAAAAATGCGCTTATCCAGACAAGCCCGGTTTGGACACTTTACGAGCAGAAGAAACATTTCTATTAAAGAAAGAATTATACATTTCTGTCTTTTTATGCCTGACCTGACTTCAGCCATAACTTGAATTTGTATTCTAATTAATCAATTATTTTTTATATTTTATTGTAATGTAGAGACAAGGCTTTTAGTGACAATCATGTATTGCGTTACAATTATAAGTAAAAAAAAATAATGAAAAAAGTATATGAGATTTGGCCTCAAATCATCTGAGGCCTGGCGCCCCCCGCCCCCCCCCCAGGTTGGGAACCACTGCCCTAGAGACCTGGAGCACTTCCGGAATGTTTTTTTTAAATGTGTTTTGGGATTTGTACGTGCTTTGGACTTTGCATATCGTGCAGCGTTTTTTTGTTGCATTTGTTTTTCGGGGTTTGTGTGTTGTATTTAGTTTGCATCATTTCTGTAAATGCAGCGTTTTTCTGTTGTATTTGTTTTCAGGGTTTGTTTGTTTTTTATTTCATTATTTGCAGGTGTTTCCTGCTAATGTATGCGTTTTGGGCCGTTGTTCCGCGTTTGCACCTGCCGGCCACCGTACTATACCTATCTACATGATGAAGAATCCAGCATCTGCAATATCTTTCAAGTTCAGTACATTAGAAAGAGACACTTTCTTAATAAGTCGCAATCCTTCTTCCTTTAATACTGTCAAACTGAAAGTGCTTGAAGTCTATAATCATCATGTCTTTAGGACGTTTTTTTCAGAATTTAGATTCTAGGTCTATAATTTGGTATTTCTTCATCCCTACTTTTCGAATAAAAACAACATCTCTCAAAAAACGTTTAAATTATCAATAAGACTTCTACATTTGTTTTAAACGTTACCAGCTAGTCATCAGCATGTTATCACTGTCATTGTTAGCATGTTATCATGGCTGTAGACTCTTTTAAAATGTACATGTGTATATATCATTTTCAAAAACGTTTTCTCAGAAAAAACACGTGCACAATTTCGCCACATGATCCATGAGCCACTTTGCTGCTTAAATTTATCTTTTAATAAAAATGTGTTAGGAATAAGGAAGTAATATTCTCTCTAAGTGTCAAAGAATAATTCTTCCTTACCCCTAAGATATTTAACATTTTCTGTGTGTTGACATTTACGATCAGCCCTGCTTCTAATCTCCCGTAAGGAATGTGTTAATGTAGTCGTATTTTGATACTAGGTTTTATGGCCTGACCTGGTGGGCACACGGGGATGTGAGAGACATCTCCTGTGTCTGCAGATGTTTACGCCCATCCCCAATATGTGGATTTGACTCTCTGTAAACTAGTTAAAAGGTCTACCAAGATGCGAGGCTGATCAGAATTGTCATGACAACCCACCCGTGCAGTCAGAACCTTTTGCTGCTGTGACTTGTGATATGAATTCTCCGGCCGTATCCTTGTAATAAACTACCAGTGTTTGACATCAAAGCTCCAACTCTCCTTGTGTCTCTCTGAGTCCTGACTCTCCATTGCTGCAGAAGTTTCCCTTACAGTCAGTACCTTTTTTGTTATAAAAAAACGACATTGCAAATCTTTAATAACATCTGTGTTAGCTGTCCTGTCAGATTTCAACAGTGACAAAGCCCAACCAACGTCCGATATGCTACCCTGTGAATAAGCACTGCCCTGAGACGCTAAAATCCTTTAACTTTAGCTCCATTTCTGCTCAAATGTTGCTGCCATGACTGCCTTAAGGGTGGGTCGTGACCCATAATCCCTCTGTTCGGGGAGACAATAGAGACAGGCACTTAAAAATGGAAGCAACAAGAGTGGAAAAGGACAGCTTATTCCTGCAATGCTTTGAATGTGATTTTGACAGAAATCATCACATGTGGCTTTTAAACTGACAGAATTGTTTAATAATCAATTTAGTTATCAGTCAAATGAGAATTTGCAAGGTTGATGCATCAAATTGACCATTTATTGTCTTGTGCCATGTTTTTCCTAAAAAGGAAACATTTTTTTTAGCAGTGATAATCCATGAATTTACATTTAAACCGTTGAGACACCCACTTCAATTTAATAATATGATAAATCCATTAGTGTATTTATGCAATATTTGTGTCTGCAAACAAGCTGATGGATCCAAATGTCTGTGTACATGCTACACATGCAAATGGACATATCTGTGTGAATCACGTGGGTTCCTCTATAGAACAGATGCATGCAGACGTGTCTCACATGCCAAACCTGGAGTTGTGAAACGCACTCGCTGCCAGCATAATAAATGTAATGGACTCTTGACTAACCTGGGATGAGTTCATCAGGTGGCCTCATTTCCCACTGGCATTTTAAAGTCCTCATAATTATGCTAATTCACACAGCAAGGCCAAGAAACACTCGTAAGAAAGCATAAATAATTAGTTACTTATGCATTTTTGATAAGATGTGTATTATGAACAAACCAGTTATTGTCAGCGTTATGTTTGAGGTTTAGTTTTTAGTAAAGGTGAACAAGCATCTGTGACCCACTGTCAAGAGCCGCATCTATAATATGACAGAAACGTGATATGTATCAGTCTGGCAGCATGCTTTTTACTATCAATATTTAACATTAAGGAACCAAAAAGGTGCAAATGTCAAAGTTTGACACCAAAGGCCACTTTTTCAAAATGTAGCATACTCAACTTTCCTCCTTATCTTTTCCTCTCTGAAAGTAGTTTTCTCCTTCACACTGATTTCCTCTTTGTGTTCTGCTCTGTGGGCAGAGGGCCATATTTTTCTCTTGTTCAGAAAATCACAGCTTAACAATAACATCACGTCACTGCCTGCCATTCCCATGGTTCTCCCTTCTATTGCTTTTCTTTATACTCTTTTCCCTTCAAATAAAGAGCTTTTTGAACATTAAAGCAAGTATATATGTTACAGTAGAGGCATAAAATACTAATATCACACCTGGAAATGTGCATAATATGTCCTCTTTAAAGGTCACCTATTATTCAACATCCACTTTTCCACGTCTTGTGTACATCAACATGTGTCCCCTCTGTGGAAAGAGATTCTGAAAGTTTCAGGAACAAAGATTCTCTCTCTTTTTGTCCTGATCCATTTATATAAAAACCTGTCTGAAAATGAGCTGATCAGATTGTGGACACTTTGTGATGTCATAACGATTTTTTGTCTTGTGTAACCATTAGCCAATCACCAACCAATCACCCCCCCACCTTATCACCTGAATCTCCTCCTAGAGCACCATTGTGTTATTTTTAACCAAATATCTCTCAGAGGGGAGTGGCTCC